CTACCTTCTCCTCTCTGTCAACGCTCTCTGGTTTCATTTAAAAGAGTCGATCATCAGATATTGTCCAAAATTAACCTTCAGGGTGGATATAAGCCTCACACTGAGAACCTATCCACGTCATCATTTACCCAGAATGCTTTGTGTGTAAATAAAATGGCTCCGTCTGTGTTAAAATATATTTTTAAAAATTTACAAAACTAAACATCCTACAGTATTTTTACAGTCTTTATTTTACAGTTAAAATAAATGTTTATCTACTAAAGTTTAATATTACAACTAATCAGGGATCCCTTTAAAAAACTAAACTGTGGCCACATGGAGCTGTTTTAGCAGCTGAATTTTCATTTCCTGTTTGATGCAGACGTGGTTGGATGTTTGCTGACTAACTGGTTCATCTCTAATTCTATCAGTTTTACAGATTTTGAGCTAAAATGTCAGCATGGCAGTTTTCTGGCTCTGATTGTCAACAGATTGTTTTAAAGATTTGATCAAAATGGCTGAAGGTGGTGGGCAGCGTGCTTTCAGGCCTTTTATTTACCTCAGGTCTCGTTCTTGTTCTGGGTGGATTTGGGTTTGTTTTTTTTTCTGCTCTTGTGATTCCTCTTTCTCTGGTCAGCCTGTTGCTTTTTATTTTTGTTTTTTTTTTACTGATGTTCAATCTTCAGGATGTGTCCCGGTGATCGTTGTCCTGATTGTGTCACAAACAATCAAGCTGTGCATCAGTTCTGGACCATCCTTGATTTATTGTAACTGTCATATTTTCATTTTTTACTGGCTGAATAATTAAATTTAAAATCTGATCAAATTAAGATTTTTGACAGTATGAATCTATCAGAAATGCCCTTTAAGTAAATGTTGAATTTCTATGTCAAACACAAAGCTGTTGTCCAACACGACCACCAGAGGGCGCAGGATGTTCTTACCTAGAGACCCTCTGAAGCAGCATTACTAATAAACAGAGTTGTTGACACTTCACCAGCATCAGAACAGCAGTGAACCATTTCTGTTTCTTTAAAGGTTCAAATGAAGTTTCTGGTGGAGCAGATGAAGAGACCAGCCTATACGGATGCACTGCAAAGCTTTACGTCCCCGCTGAATCCTGCACATCAGCTGGGAAACCTCCGGTACGCCTGCACCTCCTTGCTTCACTTTGTCCTCCCAAACGGTCCTCGTTCTGTTTCTGCAGCGGTTGATTGTTTCTCCTCCGCCGGGTTTTGAATATTAAAAATACATTTATCTGTGTGGACCAAACTCATTTAGGGACATTATGTGCTCTTCTGCTTGGGGAGAGCAGATTCCCTTTACAGTAAAGCTTCTTCTGCATGACTCAGCATACAGGAGCTGAAGTATATACTGGACTGCTGACTCAGCATTCAGGAGCACAGCTGCAGTTAATTAGAGCTTACAGTCTTTCATTTCGACAAGTTTGTTTCCAATTAAACGTATTTATGTTTTTGTTTTAGCCTGGAGGAATGCAGGATGATGTCATCGGCAAAACGGCCTCTCTGGCTGAACTGGGAAAACCCTGACATGATGTCAGAGCTGCTCTTCCAGAACAATGAAATCATCTTCAAAAACGGAGACGGTGAGTTGTGTGTGCGTGTGCATTCAAACCGCCTGCCTCTTACAAACACAACACAGTCGATGCGTGTGCCCATCATGACTCAGCTGAARCCTGCGGGGTGTGTCGTGGCACACAGACTCGTAACGCAGAATTGAAAAATCTGTTTTTGGATCACGCTTCAGTGCAGAATCGTGCTCTTTTCTGAGATGCACCTGACTTTGACAGCTCCTCTTCATCCAGCATCACCGAGCTGATCAAAGCAGCTAATATTCAGTTTTCCTCCTCCTCCTCGCCTCTGCAGATCTGAGACAGGACATGCTGACTCTGCAGATCATTAGGATAATGGAGAACATCTGGCAGAACCAAGGCCTTGATCTCAGGTAGGCTCCTCACTTCGTCATGACAGCAGGGATGCAGGTACACGTTAACGAGCTCCGGATCCTTCACACACACTCATAAATTAACTGTAAACTCCTGCCAACCACTTCAGGTCATTTTACATTCAGATCCATCACTGCTGCCCTCCTTTTAAAAAAAAAATACAAACCTCTATATATTCATTTTCACACGTCTTACCGTTCTCTGTTTCCTCCCCCAGGATGCTGCCGTACGGCTGCCTGTCCATCGGTGACTGTGTGGGTTTAATCGAGGTGGTGAGGAATTCTCACACAATCATGCAGATCCAATGCAAAGGTGGCCTGAAGGGGGCGCTGCAGTTCAACAGCCACGCGCTGCATCAGTGGCTGAAGGATAAGAACAAGGGAGAGATGTGAGAGGCATAAAACCTGGGTTTTTCCTCAGCAGTGAATGATCCCTGGGCTGAGGCGCTTTTATTTCTCCTTTGTCTCTCAGGTATGACCAGGCCATCGATCTGTTCACACGGTCGTGTGCCGGCTACTGCGTGGCCACGTTCATCCTGGGCATTGGGGACCGGCACAACAGCAACATCATGGTCAAAGATGACGGACAGGTAAACATCACAGCTCGCCTTGTTCTGCTGGACTTAAAAGAAAAAAAACAAAATAAAAGCTCGTCTGTTCATTTTCCTGCGTTCACAGCTGTTCCACATAGACTTCGGTCATTTCCTCGACCACAAGAAGAAGAAGTTTGGCTACAAGAGGGAGCGTGTACCGTTTGTGCTTACGCAGGACTTTCTGATCGTTATTAGCAAAGGAACACAAGAGTGCACGAAAACAAGGGAGTTTGAAAGGTAACAGCAACACAGACAGGTTGGACTGAAACAAGCTGTTGGATGTTGAAGGGACCTTTCAGCAAGTTTGTTGTATTTTTCACACAAAGGAATGAACAAATAATATCCTACCTGTTTTAGATAGCTCTTTGAATGCAACTCTACTTGAATGTTTCAGAAGCCTTTACAATTAATTCTGTTTATGTAAAACTCTGGTTATGTGGGCACCTCTAGCAGGATTTTTATAATGTTTCAGGCAAATATCAGCATTTGAATAAAAAAACCGGGACATTCTGTCAACTGCAGTTTTGTTAAGTCGGCAGATTCTGCTTTGAAGTGGTTCCACTTAGATTGTATGGCTAAACTTAAGACAGCTAGTCTGAGCGGACCCACTTTAAATGTGGACCACTGCAAAATTAAAACAATTCTAGTCCTCAGATTGTCCTAGCTGTTCATGCAAATTTAAAATTTTAAACCTGTACAGACATCAGAGGTGACCAATACTTTACAAAACTGTTCATTCAGACAACTATCCACAACACTAAGATATATAAATATATATATTTAATAATTTTTAAACAAAAAAATTGCATTTAAATTGCTAAAATATCCCTTTAAAATTTCAACAAAATGGTAACAAATTGCTCTTTTTGATTCTGCTTGAAAATGGTTTGTGTTTGTAATGATTTTTCTGCTTGTGGTGGATTTTTTGAGATACAGTGAGGTGTGAAAGTTTAGGCAGCCTTGTTAATTTTCCTGAGTTATCTTTATAAATCCTTGATTGTTTGGATAAAACAATCAGTTAAATATATCAAATAGGGGACAAACACAGCGATATTTGATAAGTGAAATGAAGTTRATATGATTTACAGAAAGTGGCAATAATTGGTTAAACAAAATTAGGCAGGTGCATAAATTTGGGCACCATAAAAAACCCTTAACTCAATATTCAGTAGATCCTCCTTTCACAGAAATAACAGCCTCTAAACACTTCCTATAGTTTCTAATAAGAGTCTGGATTGTGGCTGAAGGTATTTTAGACCACTCTTCTTTACAAAACATCTCTAGTTCATTCAGGTTTGATGGTTTCCGACCACATACGGCTCTCTTTAAGTGACACCATAGATTTTCAATAATTTTCAGGTCTGGGGACTGAGATGGCCATTCCAGAACGTTGTACTTGTTTCACTGCATAAATGCCTTAGTAGATTTTGAGCAGTGTTTAGGGTGGTTGTCTTGTTGGAAGATGCAGCCCCGGCTTCAGCAGCTTCAGCTTTGCCACTGATTCCTGGACATTGGTCTCCAGAATCTGCTGATATTTGTTGGAATCCATGTGTCCCTCAACTTTAACAAGATTCCCAGTCCCTGTACTGGCCACACAGACCCACAGCATGATGGAACCACCCCCACATTTTACTGTAGGTAGCAGGTGTTTTTCTTGGAGTGCTGTGTTCTTTTGTCTCCTTGCATAACGATCCTTGTTCTGCCCAAACAACTCTATTTTAGTTTCATCAGTCCACAGCACCTTATTCCAAAATGAAGCTGGCTTGTCCAAATGTGCTTTAGCAAACCTCAAGCAGCTCTGTTTGTGATGTGGGCGGAGAAAAGGCTTCCTCTGCATCACTCTCCCATACAGCATCTCCTTGTGTAAAGTGTGCTGAATAGTTGAACGATGCACAGYGDCTCCATCAGCAGCAAGATGATGTTGTAGGTCTTTGGTGCTGCTCTGTGGGTTGACTCTGACTCTTCTTAACATCCTTCACTTCTGTTTATTCCAAATTATTCTTGGTCTGCCACTTGGAGCTTACACTTGAACTGTGCCTGTGGTCCTCCATTTTCTCACAATGTTTCTCACAGTGGAGACTGAAAGCTGAAATCTCTCAGATATCTTTCTGTATCCTTCCCCTAAACCATGACGGTGAACAAACTTTGTTTTCAGCTCATTTGAAAGTTGTTTTGAGATTCCCATGCTGCCACTCTTCAGAGAAGACACAGAGAGGAGAAAAACTTACAATTGCCCCCCCTTAAATACCCTTTCTCATAATTGGAGTCACCTGTCTATGGAGGTCAAGGCTCACTGAACTTACCAAACCAAATTTGAGTTCCAATAATTAGTTCTAAAGTTTTTGAAATCAATAAAATGAACACAGTGCCCAAATTTATGCACCTGCCTAATTTTGTTTAACCAATTATTGCACAGTTTCTGTAAATTATATAAACTTCAATTCACTTCTCAAATATCACTGTGTTTGTCCCCTTTATGATGTATTTAAATGATTTCTTTAAATCCAAACAATGATTTATAAAGGTAAATCAGGAAAATTAACAAGGCTGCCAAACTTTCACACCCCATTGTACTTGTGGGCTCGAGAATTAACCACATAACCCTCAATGTACTGGCCACCGTACATTCCCAGTTTGTGAATTCCTCCCTCTTTATAGCCTGACCCACGCAGGGACTTTGAATTTGCATAATAAGCTGTTCAAACAATTCGATTGGTTGTTTTTTGATGGGTGCCTCTTCTGCCAATATGCCAATAATGTGCTCTACAGAGTCTATAGACTCTACAGAGCACAAAATGTGAGGCAAGCCCCTCATGTCCCACCTGTCTATGGTACACGTGATTGATTGACTAGAATTGGCCAATCAGCTCTGAGCTTCATTCTGACACTACAACTGTGTAGCCAATCATGCTACCAATATTGCTATTCAATATGCAGCTTTGGAAATTTAAAAAAGTAATAATGGTTATAGTGTATTGTGTGTATTCAGACCCAAAAGCCAGACGGGTTCCAGTGACCCTTGTCGTCAGAGCATGAACACATCTAAGAGCCTAAGTTTGCTCCATAACCCAGAACAGGAAACATAACTGTAGGTCATAAAATGCAGTATTCTAAACAGAACAGAAATCATAATACACTGGTGGTCAAGGGTATCAAATGTTCTTAGAATTCACAACAAAATGCGATGATCCTGGTAAGATAGTATAATTTTTCGTTCCCATGCTCCATCTCCTCAGGTTCCAGGAAATGTGTTACAAGGCATACTTGGCCATCCGCCAACACGCCAACCTTTTCATCAACCTCTTCTCCATGATGCTGGGCTCAGGCATGCCGGAGCTGCAGTCGTTTGACGACATCGCCTACATCAGAAAGACCCTGGCCCTGGACAAGTCAGAGCAGGAAGCCCTCGACTACTTCATGAAGCAGATGAATGACGCCCATCATGGCGGCTGGACTACCAAGATGGACTGGATCTTCCACACAATTCGCCAGCACGCCATGAACTAAGGAAGGAGAGAACAATACGAACCATGGCAGCAGCAACAAGAGGAGCGAGGGAAAAAAAGGTTTTCTTCCAAAACATACTAAAGCCTGGTTAATATTGCTGCCAGCTTCTTAATTTCAGAGACATGTTGCCTAAAAGTTCCTGTTTCTTTAAGTGTCTGAAGTTTGTTTTCCTGCCTCAAAGTTTTATAAGGAAATATGGAGTCATACTCTTTTTTTTTAAATAGGAATTTACCAAGTGGAATGGACCTCATCTACACTGGCCTTTAAACTACAGAATATCTATAAAAACCTTTTTACTTTTGATTCCTTTTATTACAACTACATCCATCAGCATTACCAGAGGAACACTACTAAGTAGCACCAGACAGATGGCTATTCTTTTTTAAAGAGGATTTAATTTTGTTGTTCTTACTACTTAATTTAAAAAAAGATAAATGTGAGGTAGTGGCTGTCACATCTGAACGCATCCTCTGATCATTTACATCCAGTTAGCAGCAATGCACAAATTCATCACTTTATAGTTTGAGCCTTCAACAACATATTAGGTTGGAAAATGGAGGAAGGTGGTTTTTGTTTCCTAGTTTCAAAACTAAAGCTTTAAAATTGAGTGTGAATTAAAAATAGTGCTTCAACAATAAAGTCTAACTCCAGGAAGTGAACCACAAAGTATTTGTTCTGCTTTTTATTATTAATGTAGTCAAGGCTWATGGGTGCAATCAGCTGTTTGCACCAAGTTCTAGTTTGGTTCTGATTACATTTGTAGTCTGTACTGTTCTCAATGTTTAGACTTTATTCATAAACCTCAATCATCAACATTTTGACTTTTTAAATTACTATCTTAATTTAATTTGCAACATTTTGATATTAGTCTCAACACAGCGTTCTCAACAAAACCTTAAACCAAAATAGATGTAGCTTCACAGTAGGGATGGGTACCAAATTCGATACTTTTTGATGTAAAGACCGAATTCTGTCGGTACTACCCAGTATCTATTCACGTAACATCAAACGGTACCATGTTTCGGTACCTAAACGCATCATTGCGACCGGTTTGGCATAAGAGTGGAGAATTTTCCATGCTTGTCCTGAAGGCAGCATCAAGCAAAAGCATAATGACGTCCGCAGCATCAGCTGCTGGTTCAGACAGGAAACAGAGGCAGAGCTCGGTCTGAACGTAGCTTTAAAGCCTCGCAGCTCCTGGAGTAAAACTCGCCAAACAGACCGCTTCTGAATTATCTGGTGGATTAATTATCTTGTGAACACGATGTTCGCTTGCTCAAAATAAATAAAGTACCGCCACTTTCTTTATTTCATCCACCATTAAACAGAGACCACCAGAGGAAAACAACAGAGGCACTTGCCGACAGTCCGAACACGTCTGACCTGAAGGAGCACAAGCAGCCAGCTAAAGTGTTGGGCGCGTTTTGGATGCTCAAAACGTAGCTTCAATACCTTTTATTTATTTTAACTCCATCCTCTTTTGCTTATTTGATTTAAACTTATTTGCCTTCCATGGACCTCCATCACAGTTTTTCTAGCGGGGAAATGACATCAATAGAAACACGTGGAGCTGGATTTTAATTTGTGCAATAAGACAATAAGACTTGTTTTCAAGAGTTTGCACTTTAAAGAAATAAGTTACACAACTGAAGTTACAATACAAAGAGTTGGATGTTGTCTTGATGTTTGTTAATTTTATATACTGAGAAATATGTTGAATAAAAAGAAAAGTTTATTATTGAAAAAACAATACACACAAAGTACCGAAAAAGTGGTACCGTTAAATACCGGTACCGATTCCCAGGTACTGGATATAGGTACCGAATTGATTCAAACGTCAAAGGTACCCATCCCTACGTCACCGTACCAAACTCAGCATAGGCTTTAGCGCCGACGTTTCTGCTTTAGCCCCGACGTTACGACTTTAGCCCTGACGTTACTGCTTTTGCTCCCAAGTTACGGCTTTAGCCCCGGCGTTTCGGTTTTAGCTCCCAAGTTACTGCTTTAGCTCCATCGTTAGGGCTTTAGCCCCGACGTTAGGGCTTTAGCCCCAACGTTTCGGCTTTAGCCCCGACGTTACGGCTTTAGCCCCGACGTTACGGCTTTAGCCCCGACGTTACGGCTTTAGCCCCGACGTTAGGGCTTTAGCCCCGACTTTACGACTTTAGCCCTGACGTTACTGCTTTAGCTCCCAAGTTACGGCTTTAGCCCCGACGTTACGGCTTTAGCCCCGACGTTACGGCTTTAGCCCCGACGTTACGGCTTTAGCCCCGACGTTACGGCTTTAGCCCCGACGTTTCGGCTTTAGCCCCGACGTTACGGCTTTAGCCCCGACGTTACGGCTTTAGCCCCGACGTTAGGGCTTTAGCCCCGACGTTAGGGCTTTAGCCCCGACGTTACGGCTTTAGCCCCGACGTTACGGCTTTACCCCAGGCAGACGTTCATGCTGTAGAGACGTTTGCGTTTTAGCCCAGAGGTTATGACTTTAGCCTCAACATTCAAGCTGTAGCCTCAACAGTCGTGGTTTAGCCCTGAAGTTACTGCTTTAATCCTTGTTGTTAGGGCTGTAGTCTTGACGTTATGGGTTTGGCCCCGACATGTCAGCGTTAGCCCAAACGTTTCAGCTATAGCCTCAACATTCATGCTGTAGCCTCAAAGTTACGGCTTCAGTCTCGATGTCACATCTTTAGTTTTGACACTAGGGCTGTTATACATTAAATAAAATTTTAGTTCATATTGGTTACCCACCTTAATATCTAATAATTAGCATTGATTTTAGACTATTATTTTGGTTGGCCTCTAATCTGGATACTTCAACTTCAATTTATACTTTAATTAATACTATACTATATTATACTTTAATTTATACTTTAATTATACTTTAATAAACTTTAATCTTGATTTAATTACTCTAATTTTAACTTTACTAATTTATTTTTGAAACTGAGGAACTTAAAAGAAACCCTGCTTTTGTCATTTGACTCAGAAAAACAGTAGCATGCTATGCTTCCGTCACCTTACAGAGAATAATGAAACATTTTCTGAACCAGTTAAAATGCTCAACTCGTAAGTCATACGAGATGTTTTATCACATCACATATTTGACATTTGAACAGCAGTTTGTACTTTTAAATCCATTTTCTGCAGTCCTTTTTTAAACCAAGCATCACAATTCCAAGTCTTGCTTCAACACAGCACTGATTGAGGTGTACTGCAGTATTGTAGTTTTGTCTGTCAGTATTACTGTGGTAAATGTTGAGATGGAAGCCACCATTAACCTCCCAACACAGAAGAGCTCTCTGATGGTAGGCTCTGCACTCCTCAGCATTCACTGTAGTGATTATTTAGCATCCTGCGCTGTTACGCTATGCAAATTGTGGCCCTAACACGTACTGTATATTACAACAACAAAAATCGAAGTAGTAAAAGAATTGGTTCTGGAAATACTCTATGAAGTGTGTCAGTTCAGTGCATACAAGGAAGCGGGGGAGAAAAAAAATCTAAATTCTGCCGTGGAACAGTGTCGCCCGGTTATTCCCAGCAGAAACAAACCTGCCTTTATCTTCTTGTTAGGCTTTTAACTAACCCTGAAGCCTCGATCCAAGCCATCTGTAAAATATTTGATATTGACTTTTGTTTTTCTTCCGGTTCCACGTTCCAAGTGTCGGTTTTGTTTTGTTTTACAGTTTCCTGTGCAAAAAGCTCATGTGCAAAGAGGTGCATTATTGTCCAAGCTTTACAAAATGACCCATACTGTTCTCTGGACCTCTGAGTGTCTCTGCACATGTTTAAGGACTTACAGCTGCTCAGGAAACCAGTCCCACCAAGGATGGATCCAAACTGACGAAACTAATCTCATCGTATTTTATCAGAGAACTGTTTGTACTTAGTATGTTTGTTTCTCACGCTGCATCATGCATGAAACCCTCAGATACCTGCTCTCTCTTTTTAACCTGACGTTGTTTACTTGAATTTCTTGTACAGAAATGATCTTGTTACTTGTTGGAGGTACAGTCACAATGAAGGTAACAGAGACTGCTATTACATGTGTGAATGCTTTTCTTGAATAACTACAGAGGTAATATATATTTTTGTATTTTTTTTATGTAAGCGAACTCATGTGTGTAATTGCTAACCAAAAGAAGAAGAAAAAGAGGTGTGCATCACATAAACCAGCCTCATATAAAGTCCAGCAGCCATCCTTAAGTTGTGGAAAGGAGGGGTTGAATGAAGGACAAGTCATCGAGCATCATTGCTAAATAAAATGGAACCGTCTTACCCTTAAATGGAAGTCTGTAAGCACATTAAGTTGTTTGAAGAAAATTACCCTGCATGTTTTAAAGCAACCAAACTTGTGTTAATTATATATTCACCTGTATCATAAAGCTTTTTCAGATAACTTGTTTTAATAATCCTCATATGTCGCTGTTGGGTAAGAAACTATGCATTCAATTATTGTGCTGTTAAATAAAACCTTTTTTTCCCAATGAAATATTCTAAGACATTTTTGTTTTACGTTTAAACCAATACACATGTCAACCTCTTCAGACATTTACCTGTTAATGAGCCTCAAAAATGTGTGAGATTGCTCTATGTTCTTGTACCTGCAAAACGAGGGGAAATCCGTGTAAATTACGGACAATCCGTACAACTTGACATGTATGTTAAACAAAATATAATTCAATTTCAAGGCACTTTTTAAAAAAATGTTAGTGAAAACAAAAATGTAAGACATTCAGACAGTTTTTATGAATAAACACCATATTCTGTTGACCAATTTCAAACAAAACAAACACTAAGGGTAGCTCCAAACGTCAAAGAAATTACCTTATTAGCTTTTGTGAGAGCCCTTTTTCTGGGCCCTAAAATGGTAAATGGACTGTACTTGTATAGCACCGTCGTATCCAACCAGGACACTCAAAGCGCTTCACACTCTACAATCTGTCCTCATTTATCCATTCACACAGCACACTATTAGGTCTCTACAAAGCTAACATGTACAGTCAAGCTATGGAGACAAATCAGTGCCAATCACATTCATACACTGATGGGACACACATCAGAGGMRYTRRGGKTGAAGTGTCTTGCCCAAGGACACAACTGAGAGCTGGAACAGGAACCAAACCAGCAACCTACTGGTTCCAGGACGTCGCCCCTATCCACTCTGCCATATTGTAGTGTGAGTGGAAAGACTACCATGATGCTAAAAAATCCAGTTGTAAATGGACAGTATTTATTCTTAGGCTAAATCTGGTACAATGCATCAAATGTTTTTACATTTCTGTTTTAATTGCACACTGTCCTGATTAAATGAATAAATAATAATAATAATAAAACATACACTGCCCGGCCTAAAAAAAAGTCACCGACTGGATTTAACTAAGCAAATGGTTAAAAAAAACATTGAATAATTACTTCAGGTTAGGTTGTTTCAGCTGACAACAACCTGATGCAGTGAGTTAACCACGTTGACAGACATCCTGTGGTTGAGAATAATGTTAATCTGTTTCAGAGGAGTCAAATTATTGGTATCAAGTGGAGAAAACATCTAAGGAGATTGCTGACACTACTCAAATCAAGTTAAAGGAATAGTTGTAACATTAGACTTTATTTAATAAACATATATTTTAACTGTAAAATAAAGACTGTAAAAATACTGCAGGATGTTCAGTTTTATCATTTTTAAACTAAAAGTTTAAAAATATATTACACGGACAGGGCCATTTTATTTACAAGCAAAGCATTCTGGGTAAATGATGATGTGGACAGGTCCTCGGTGTGAGCGAGATTCTTATATAGCCAATGCAAGACCTCCTCTGGGTAAGTGAGATCACAACCTTGTTTATCTCTGCTCAGAATATAGGCCACTTGTTCGGAGACAACCTGTAACTACAAGGACTGTGAGAAAGTGGTCACAGGAAGCTGAAGAAGCCCTACAGGGATGTTTTGAAGCTACAGATTGGATTGYTCTTTGCCAGCCACATGGAGATGACATAAATGCCATGACCGAGTGTGTGACTGACTATATAAACGTCTGTGTGGACGACACCATCCCCAGCAGTACAGTGAGATGCTTCCCTAATGACAAACCCTGGATCACCAGTGAGCTAAAGGAACTTTTAAACAAGAAAAAAAGAGCCTTTAGGGATCGAGACAGGGAGTTATTGAGGAGTATACAGAAGCAGCTCAAAGTCAAGATCAGAGACGGCAAGGAGGTTTATAGAAGGAAGCTGGAGAGTAAACTGAAAAGGAACAATATCAAAGATGTGTGGTCAGGGGTGAAGAAGATTGGATGGATGAAGTCTGGACAGAGCAAATGAGCTGAACACATTCTTCAACAGGTTCAGCTCAGGAACAAGCTCATCTTCCTCCTCTCCTGCCCCCAGCCAAACAGACATCTCACCCTCCTTTGACCCACAGCTTTCCTGTCAAACTGATAGGGTTTTATTGGATTTATTAAACTTCTTAAGGTGTTTCAAATAAAGTCTTGGTACGTGACAAATTTATTATTCATCATGGCGTGTCCATAGACTGTTTTAAGCAGAGCTAGTAAATTTTACTATTATTCACATATTAAACCCCAGCAACAAGTGTTTTGATTGGTTCCTATGCC